TTTTAGATAAATATAACCCCAAACTAAGATCCAAAATAATTTGATCATGCCAAATGATTTTCGTTCATATATGTATTTAATAACTTTTAAAAAAGCTCTTTTATGCAGCGAAGCTACGTGTTTCAAAGGGTATTCATTGACACCCCTTGATTTGGTAGTTTTTTTTATAGATTATATAGTAGAACTGAGACGAACACATGTGATATCACGAACTCGACACCCCTTGATTTGGTAATTTTTTTATAGATTATATGGTAGATCATGCCAAAGGGTGTTCATGGACACCTGTAGCAACTAGCAACGCAAAGAAAGAGATGATTTATAACAATCTTTGGGATTTTTAAAGAGAAAATTTCTATGAACGTGATTTTTTTATGATTAAAAATAGGGAGGTTAGAAGGTATTTAACAAAAATAAAATCTTTCTATAGATATCATAATCTATTTATAATAATTCCAAATTTGTAAATATAAGAAAATTGAGAAGCTAATCTTGAAGAAAAAAGATGAAACCCTAATTAAACAAAAAAAATACTTTTTTTTTTGCATCACCAACGTTGTTGCTGTCTGCTCCGATTTGTTTGTCGGCACCACCTCGGTTCTCAACATCATCCTGTAGCTTGGTACACATCTCATACACCTGATCAGTTCTTCCATTTCATTGGATCGGAGACGGCTTCCTCCTCACGTGTCTTTTATTTTGAGGTCTTATTCTCACACTCTCATTTTCTCTCTCTTTTAGTATTTAGTCATTTAATGTTTTTCGGGTAAAATAAACCAATTGTTGCTATAGCATACTACCTATTGGTCAAAGTCTAGAAAGTAAAATGTAGTGCAACACTTTTCGTAATTAACTAGACATATATCCAACAAAATTTTCTAACTTTTGATCAATCAACAAATGTTACGTTATATGATTTTAGATTTAATTATTTAGTTTGGAGTAAAATAATTAAAATCAAAAATTTAAAATAGTTTTAAAATGTAAATAGTTTGTATATGATGTTAGTTGTTTTTATTTTGGTTCATTGTTATATTACAATTGCATTAATTTGATTATTGACAACCCGACCCGATCACCAAAATTTTATAAGTCGTTTATTTTGATACGCCGTTCAATTTGGACACATGTGAGTTTGAATTCTAGATTCGTCATTGCTTTTATGTTAATGTTAGATTTGATCATTGTAAATATGTGCTTGAAATTTAATTTTAAAAAATATTTCATTTTCTCATTAAATTAATCCATGATTTGTAGACCATGGATAAGTACACATATTAAGCCACTTAATGATTTATTTTCCAATAGTTTGTTATTAATGGATTTAGGTGTTGCTTGGTTTTCAAGAGTAATAGGTTTGCATTTTTTGGACCATATTTGCATAATATTTACAAAATAAGAGGTAGACCAAACTTTTGTAGTCTACAAGAAAAAAATTGTTTGTTTTGTAAAGTCTATATGTTGCTAAAATAAATTGATGTTTAATTAAACCTGTATTTTTAAACATGTTCTACATAAGCCCCAACGTCTTATCTCTATCAATTATAAATCCTTAACTTGTTTCTTAAATTCGGCATTTTCATTATCCATTTCTTTTCTAAATTTGCATAATGCTTTTTTACTTTCCAAATTTTGTCCATAAAGTGTCTCAAAGCAGTCTTTCAATGCTTTTGATAAGTTCCTCATTTTATAATCAATCTTGATTATCTTTCAAAGTTGTCATCAAATCATCATTCAAATCCTATACACAAAAAACTTCTACACAACAATTATGATCACTTTAACTGTTTGGATCAATATTTGGTTTCACATGACATGATTACATTAGTTCCTCTTCATTTAGCTCAGTGAGTGAGGTAACATTGTTTACATCTTGAACCTGAGAATTTCAATATCTTCATCTACAATTTTGTATGTCTCATTATCTTATTCATCAACACTAAAAGCAGCCAAAGCAAATGTTTGTAAAATTTTTGTGATACAAATGACAACGAAAGTATGAAAAAAGAAATATTAGTTTACCTTGGAACTATGTTTTCACTAATTATACATGTAAATGGTTTCCAAGGCATTAAACCTATAACTAACATGCATTTGACATAAACCATATAATATACTACTTATGGTAACATACCTTTTATGTGGCTTGAAGTCTTGATGTATTTGGCCTTAAGAGCTTAGCACCAATAGTATGAAATGCCTCAAATGGAATCACAACACACCTAGGACAAAGGTGGCTCTTGAGAGAGAACTTCATGCACCATAACACCTCCATATTTTTCTAAGAAAAGAAGTGGTGATTTTGGCTATGGAGTAGCCTATTTATATGTAGGATTCCAAGGGTCATGGGTATAACCAATAATCCATACCCATGGGTTTTATGATCCATGGTTCATGTAGCCCAACTATTTATGTATCCATACATAAACTTGGTCTAACATGGATCATAAGCCCAACACATATAAATATAACTAATTATCATAATTAGTCCCCATAGATTTAATTAGTCGCTTTTGATCACTAAATTAATTCTTGATCAATACTAATTAAAACATATGATTTCATATTAGTATATTATAACTTATAATATATTAATAAATCATATATAACCTCTTCTCTCAAAAGTCCATCCTATCAAATTGTCTTGATGATATGCAACCCAAATGAACCATGCTACTCTCGGGTCAAGTAAATATCAATAATAGTTATATGGCTTAGACATCTAAAATCCCGACTAGCAATCATAGCTCTTAAAGCCACTGTCGAACTCTGAACAAATCAATGACGCGTCCATTAGATAAGTGATCATATATTCCTCCATTCTAGATATCATATAGACTGAGACATGGATTAAAATCATTCTCTCTGTTCATTTGTTGTTTCCGGATTCCCGATTTATGACGACCGACTAATTGAATAAATCAAATCAGTCCAGGCTTGGCCAAACACTTAGGGTGTCATCACTAAATCATCGAGGGGCCCACAGATATCGCTTTTATCCCTTTAAGGGTAAAAGGAATGGATGAAATTTGACTCATATGGCTTGTTCTACTAGTTGTTAAATCTTACACAAAGACACATTTTATAACATCGAGTTACCAATGTGTTTTCATGCAATCAATGTATAACCAACTCATAGTAACAACTCGTATCTCTAGGTTTGAAGAATATAAGATATTATCGTCTCATGATTCACTCGTGATAAAATCCATGAAGTGATTCAAATGAGCGTGGGTTGAATCCAATATTGAGAACTTATGAGCACTCATGAATGTTGCAGCAACTCTTGCTATGTCCACTACCTTGGACATCTACAAACCAACTTCATGACAGTCTTGATTCATATCTACTTCGAACATATGACCGACTGTGAATGCTTTGAATAACTTAGTCATTCAAGAATAATGACCAAGTTATTCTGGAAGTCAAAACATATAAAGTGAAACACAAGAATAATAATAATCCTATATGGCCCAAAACTCTTAAGTGTAAATAAAAACCCTTTTGTTTAAGGACCATATTTATTACTCATTATTCATTGTTTCGATTTTATCAACTTTATACTTGAATTAATAAAAATAGTCATGCCATGCACCAAGCATGCACACTATGCCATGCAGTAAGTCGTATATCAAATAAACACTAAGTTGATTCGTGACAAGGTTTGCAATCGAACACAAGTCAGTAAGAGTGATCAGCTAAAGTGAAGAAGTCAATAATGACTTGCTCCGAAGGAGTGACTATGATCTTTATGTTTAGAGTTTAAGATCTTGAGACAGTAATCAGAGTAGATGTAAGAAATAAGATAGATGTGAAGAAAGAGATGTGTATTTAATCAGAGCATGAGATCTCTATATATAGAGTCTCGACGATTACAATAAAACAAACTAAGTCTAATTCTGTCTAAGTGTCCATGCAAGGCACACTGGATAAAACAACGTAAATTGAAAAGATAACAGATAAAGCTAAGTTAATGTTTAATGAAGATACTGCGGATGCGGTAATTGACTGTAGAACCAACTGCTGAATTTAAGTAGACAACAATATCCATAGTCGTCGTCAGTAAAATGATCTATTTATGAATATAACTTCAATGTCTTGTCATTTATAATCTGTCCAACTTGAAAATATCCTTTGTCTTTAAGTGGACCACAATATTGGTGATTGACCACAGTTATCCATGCAGGTGTGTGCTGATAAACGATATTAAATTTTCTTCATCATGTTTGATCGTAAAAGTTTTTGTTTTATTAGAATTTGTTTATTACATTTTCATTTTTATTTAAATTTGTACATACTTTCTCTGTTATGCACAAATTTAGGTGGAGAAATTACCAACAAAAAATTAAAAAATTATATATATATATATATATATATATATATATATATATATATATATAAAATTTAAAATGAGAGTTTAATTTTATTTTTTATCTTTGTTTTGGTCTTTGAAATGTAATATCGAAAGAAATTTTTTATTAAAAACAAGTATTTTATTCTTGGGCCGAAATACTTTGATGGGCCATCTGGGTCGAGATCATTTAAGAGCATATACAAATGTTGTCTTCGACTGATTAGGGTTTCCCATCAATAAACCACAATCTGCCATTGTTGTCTTCACTCAAAGTTTGTTTCGAGTTTTCCTGAAAAATCTTCCTTTTTTGGTGTTTGTGTTGCAAATTCGTTGGTGAATCAGGTAGATTATTGATTTTCGATCGTGGAAATGGCATTTACGTTGTTCTTGGTGTATTTGTTTTCCACATATTTGCAGGTTTGGAATTGTTTTGACGATTTTTTCCGACGAAGGCGATTCGAACAGGATCCAATAAAGATCCAGGTTTTCGATCGAAATTAGTGTTCTCGGCCGAAATCTGAAATTTGACCGAAATCACTATGTTTTGACTAAAATCAACATTTTTTACCAAAATTTGAATTTTTTAGAAAATAAGATTTCAATTTTAATTTTTATTACTCTCACTTGGCTCATTTGGTGCAGATAAATGGCAGATCAATTGAAATTTGTTGACTCTCACAATATCGTTGGATATCTCTTTGATCCACCTGCCGCGCACAATGAATTCAAATCCATGATCGTGGGTTTGAACAATTGCAGAATTTCCCACACTCCACGTGTCAATCCAGTCATACGCAAGGACATGATTAATGATTTTTGGAGGAATGCATCGTTCAACTGTGCAGGAGTGGATGGTGCTGGTGCTATTGAATGTTCTGTGAAAGGCAAGCAAATCATTATTACAAAGAAAGTCATTAGGGATGTGCTTTAGTTCGGAGATTAGCCTGCTTTCCCAACAGATCTCCCTGCTGCCAAGATCACATAAGTATTAAAAATGATGAATTACAAAGGAAATTTTCCTCCAACAGTCAAGCAGCTACTTCCCCCTTATTGGAGATTTTTGGCCCATACTTTTGTTAGGTCCATTTCTGGAAGAAAGCGTGGGTCGGATGAGATAAGTCAAACAACAACATCAGCCTTTGTTGCACTAACAATGGACTGGGAGTACAATTTCTCAAAATTTGTTTTTGACGAAATGAGTGGCAACCTTTCTGGGAAAAAGAATGATCTTTTCTTGATGTAGCCTTGGTTTTTACAAATGATCTTTGATGGCATGCATCCCGAGCTCAAAAGGACCCCTGATACTCTTGATGTCAAGTCATTGGGTCCAAACACCTTTGGACTCATGAAACAAGTACGAAAAGCGTCAATGGTTGTTTTCAAGGGAACAGAAGCACTGGTGAAATTTGGAAAATTCGCAGAGACAGAAGGTGTTAAAACTGTTGGTACTCCAGTTGCTACGGAGGCCGAGGAACATGTGGTGCCATCAAAATCAAATCTTAGTTTTTCATTTGAGGTTTCTGATGATGATGATGATGATGATGATGATGATGAGGATGAGGATGAGGATGAGGATGAGGATGATGATGATGATGATGATGATGATGATGATGATGATGATGTTTTTGTTTTTGAACCATCGAAGGAGCCAGTCAATGAGGCTGTGATTTCTCCAGCTAGGAGAGAGAAAGAAATCAACATTTTCGAGCAACCAAACGATCCAATACCCGAACAGATGGAAGCCCTTATCGAAAAATTTCATCCAACTTCGAGGAAGCCACCCCAAGTCGTTCTTGTTACTACTGAGTCTCCATCTAGGAGTGATAAAGACGATTCAAATACCTCCCTAATGTGAAGAAAGCGAAGATGTAAAGATCCAAGCCCAAGAATGCTTATTACTGAACCAATACAACAACTAATAAGGAGATCCAAGCCCGGGTTAATCAAGATGATCAAAGCCCACCTTTTGACGAAGTCTTCTTAGCTAATAACAAAACTTTTGCCTCGGGAAACTCTTCTACCCCACCACCTCCAGAGCACGATTATTCATCTATCAAGTTAGTCTAGTTACTTGCTTTTCTACACTCCATTCCTCAGTCAAGAGGAAAGGGAATATCTGTTGGCTCAGAGCAAGGAGGTGATCAATACTCTCAACAAACCATTTATGAGCTCAAACAAGAGATCATAATTTTGAAGCAGGATTCCATTGAAAAGGACTTATTGATTGGCAATTTGGATGTTAGAGTTTCTGAGCCTGAAAAAGAAAATTCTCAAAAGAGTAAGGCCCCGTTTGATAGTTACTGATTGAGAAAGTACTGACTAGGAAAGGTCTGTCTGGGTAAGAATCCTAACTTAGTAAGAAATCATGTTGTTTGATTGTATGTCTGACTGAATGTGTTGAGTGATGAAAAATGACCATTTTACCCTGCTGTTATATATAGTGATGGATGAAGTTGCTGAATAATTATAAAAACATATAGATTGTCATACAAAATGTAAATTACACACAAGTCATTTAAAAATACAACTAAAAATTGTCATACAAAATGTAAATTAAACATAAATCATTTAATATCTAAATAAAAATAGGAGAAAGTAGTTGATTTGCAATCTGATCATGCAAAACACACATATATTGAACAACTTCTAGACCCCATTTTATGCCTTGTATATTTTCTCTATCAATTCCCTTACCTTGGATGTCCGGAGTAATCGTAGTCTCCTCCTCAAAATTTGTAAACAAGTCATCTTCTATATTGTATTTCATTCTAAAATTATGGACCGCGAAATAAGCAATGACTATGTCTCCTTGCACTATAAAGGATAAGGAGCCATTTCTTTTAAGATTGAGAATTTCTCCTTCAATACACCATAAGCACGCTCAATATTATTTCTAAATTGTGCATCAAAATAATTGAACCTTTCTTCTCTAGTTAAAGGTCTGCCTCTTCGAAAATCGGCTAATTAATACCTAGTATTACGGTATGGAGCCATATACCCACGAGTGTTTGTATACGCGGCATCACAAAAGTAATATTTATCTGCAAATGAGTGTGACACATATTGCATAAAGAAGATAGATAATAAAATTTATATAAAGATTACAAACCTGGTGGAGGAAATGGAAATCTAGAAGTTGAATTGAATGCAACTTCTTTCAAAACTCTTGAATCATGTGCTATACCCTCCCATTCAGCCCAAACAAAGGTGAATATCATATCAAAATCACAAATTCCTATTACATTTTGAAATCATTCCCCTTTTCCTCTTCCTCTATAACGAGTCTGTTGATCAACAGGTACAACCGCATGTACAAGAGTTCCATCTAATGCACCTATTGCTCCAGAAAAAGTATTTTTTAACCATTTATGTCATTCCGCGTTATGTCTTGTTAGATTAGTAGTTGTTGGTACTATAATTTCTTTTGCAAAACACATCATTGTCGTTAGGACCTCGTGAAAACATTGATGAATCGTTTGTGTGGAGTGATGAAATCTTCGCTTAACCGCGCGAACTCTTTAGTTTCCACTAACTTCCGTATTTTTTGAAAAACTCTGATGAGAATGCTCCTAGTGATCACCCAAAGATGTTTATTAAAGAAATTAGAAAGAGAAAATTTTCTGATAGATATGGTGATCGTTCTGGAATTTTTATGTGGGGATATGAAGCTGATAAGAAGATGTGTATTGTAAAGTGAAAGAGTGGAAATATTTAGTACTATGCGAGGAAGATTTAATTTGTGTCTTGGAAAAAAGTTGATCTTGCAGATATGGTCCACGCATCATTGCACAAACAAACAAATGACCCCATGGTATGGGCGTTTAAGAAGTTCCTAGAAGACAAAGAGAAGCACCACTTTGAAGGCTTGAAAACAACGTCATCATATGTTAAAAAGGTCAAGGGTGTTATTGATCCACACACCAACAAAACTATGGTGAATGTTATATAGCTGCTTATAAATAAATCCAAAAGGATCCCTATCACTCAGCGTGTACCTGATGGTTCTTTGAATGACTTACTATATTGGGTATATGATGAGGCTACAGTGACTGTCGTAATCAGGATGAAAAAGGATCAGATTCGTCTTGTTGATCGTAGGGATTTTCTGAAATTTTGCGGGCATTACATTCATACTTTATCTAAGTATCAACTTATGGTGGAAAATGAAATGTTTGAATCTGCTGCAAAGGCTTTCACCGGGCATGATTGTGACAATCATTCATAAGAGGCTGTGGGAGGAGCATTGGCAGATTCTGATGTTCATCTTGTGGAGAAGTCGTAAAGTCAGCCAACAATAAACCAAGGGCGAGATTATTGGGTCATATTTAAATGGTTTATGCTGGGTTTCTAGTTTATTATTGTACTTGGGCTTAGGAATGTTTATTGTTAGTGGGCTTACGGTGTTTTCAGTTTGGACTTGGGTCCTGTTAAGGCCTTGTACTAGGTTTTTATAAATAGCTTTTCAGCCATTTAGGAGTTCTAGTTGTTGATCATTCTTGTTTTCGGCTGTTAAGAAGATCTTAATGTATTAGACAATTTCTACTAATAAATCGTGTGCATTGAGAGTTATATGTGTGTTCTTGAATCAATATCTGATTTATATTCCACATTCCTTAGATAGTTTGATTGATATCATATTGAACTAAGTGTTTTGGGACTTACAGTTTAATTTAAGTGGGGCAGAACTGTAACACCCAGTTTCTATAACAGATTGGTTTAGGGCTTCAAAGGGTCAAAGGCTTTGTTTTTAAGTAAAACTGGGTATCATGTTGTAACCATAGAGAGGTCACGATATGACAAGAGATTAAATGAGAAAGATGATTTGGACTGAGCTCACGATGTGGGTAATAGGAGCTCATAACATGAGATACGTTGTAGCCCAAGCCCATGATCTTTTAAGGTTTCCTTCATATTTAGTCCCCATAAACTTCATTTAGGGTTCCTCTACAACCTCCTTCGCTCCTAAGCATAGAAAAACCCTAACCCTAGCCCCTCCTTGTGATTCTTGAGCTTTTGATTTTGATGGCTTGAAGAAGAAGAGAACACCATTGGAGCATAGATTCAACTTGGAAGTTCCATTTGGAACCTATTGCAACATCTCTGGGCCATTGTGAGTTACCAAGATTCAAGTTTTTTGTTTCCTTTTTGCTATATCTAAGATTTTATGCATGTTTATCCATGGATATAAGATTTAGAGTGTTTGGACACCATAAATTTAGCAACTTTATGGGTCCTTAGAGTCCCTTTGGTGATTATATGTAATGGATTTGAAGTTCGGACTATGTTTGAGTTCATACTTGACACTTAATCCCATATTTTTTTCATGAATGCTCTAGTTTGAGCTCAAGTCTTGTATTGGATATGCAAGACATTAAGGCATCAATTTTTATGATCCTTGGGGTGTTAGGAAGCCTTCTGAAAAATTTGGATTGGTGGCTTAATTGATTAAGAAGTTTATGGATCAATTGCCATTCAGATTGATCTCTTGGCGTGCGGATTTTCTTGTCACATCGTGAGGATCATGAGCGTCCGCTACTTTGTCCCTTAGTGGCCCACGCCGTAAGCCATAGTTGGTTACGTCATGAGGGGTGGTTTGAATGTCGACTTTCGTTGACTATTGTACATTGACTTTTTGACCCGTTTGACTTTGGGTTAAACATGGAGTTTTTGGGTTGTTTATTAAGATTCTTCCATGATTTGGTGATAGAGGGCTTGTAGGATTAATCAGTGCATAAGGGAAACTCATTGTAGTGTTTTGGGTTCTTCGTTTCAGGTGAGCTTCCTCACTCTACTTGTGGGTCAAAGGCACTATGGTTGGCCCACTGGATTTTGTATCTGGTATATAGGATGTTGCTATTTTTTAGTGATTTGTTAGATGTGTATCCTGGTATATAGGATGTTGCTATGGTGTAGTATATGTTAGATCTATATCCTGGTATGTAGGATGTTGTTATGTTGTAGTTATATGTTATATATGTATCATGGTATATAGGATGTTGTTATTCGATAGTGATCTATATATATCTATATGACTACATGTACTTTGTGGCTATTGATTATTATGGTATATGTTGATGTGATATGTTTTGGTTGGGTTGAGGTGGTCCTGCTTTGTGCTGAAGGCCAACATACCCACGACGGTCCGGATGAACTGAACGCCTGCGAGGTGGTCCAGGCCAAAGGCCCGAAGAGCGGTCCAGATATAATATAGTATGGGTGTTGCGGTCCAATCATGTTGAAGGCTCTAAGAGCGGTCCAAATAGTTTGTAGGTCCAATGTAGCAGTCCAGTCCAGCTTAAGGCTCATGTATGCATGCTGCTATTTATGGTATAGTTGTGTGTAGTTACTTGGGGGGAACTTACTAAGCTTTGGTGTATGGTTCACTACTAGAAAAACAGCCTTTTACAACACTCATTGCGCGTCGTAAAACGCTCAGACTAAGCGCATTTGCGCGTCAAGAAAGGCCATGTCATAACGAGAGACAACGCGCTTTTGCGCGTCGTCTATAGACGATGTGTATTTACGACGCGCATTTATGACACGCAATGTGTATCATTAAACTCGCTGTCAAGAAAGCCCATGTCATAAATGAAGATGACACACATTTTTGCGTATCGTAATTTTAATTTTAATTTTTTTAATATATTTGTAGATTTACTAATTTTCAAATTAAATTTGCATTTCATGTCTCATAATATAAAATAAAATACCATATACAAAAAATACAATCTATTGCACAAAAGTTAATGTCATACAAATAATCATTCCAATAGTAGACAAATATTTAAACATTATTATTAAGAGGTTTTCCCTAACTATATAACCTAGTACTACATTGTTATTTCCTTAGTTTGT